GGGCGTATGAGCAGCAAGCCTAGCAGATCAAAGAAAATAACATGGGAGAGGATATGAGTGCTTTGAGAAGTAATATAGCCGAGATAGCATCTGTTTTCCGTAGCATGCAGGAGGCTTGAGACGAGCCCAGGAAAAAGACAACGGAGACCGGGTGCACTTTAGCCGAGGATAAACCAAACACAAATGGGTTATTAAGAAGCCCTCAATGTAATATCTGGCTGACATTAAAGTGTCTCGTCCTGAACCGGTCCACTGCTGGGGGGGGGGGGGGGGGGTTATGATGCTAATGTTGAATAAATAATATGAGGGATCATTATAAGGGAGTGTTTATAATAAAGAAGAAAAAAACAGTAATGTTATCACCAGGGCCTTGCTGGAGAGTTTACTAAAACCCCAAGAAGTCCTGTTCTGCAACGAAAAGCTCCAAAACAAACATGTTAGATGCCTGTTAATGATTAAAAGTAGGCATTGATAGTATTTCCTGAGTCTCATCTCTACACTGACCAGAATTTAAATAGGTTTTAATGAGGAGGGAAGGGAGGTGATGGCTAAAACCCGTTTATTATGTGCGTTCAGGTCTTATAGCAGCCTTAGTTAATCACACAAAATCATATTTAACCCAGTTTGAACTTTAAAATGTACATCCCTCTCTGCTTATATTTTCATAAAGAGATACTGTGGTTTACGCGGGACAAGTTTAAATTCCACAAATGTTCAAATTCTGAGACAAAAACTCTGTGCAGGACACTCACCCGGTTGTCTTTTTTCATTTCTGAGGTCCGTATAGTATATCAAAACCATTCATGGGTCGCGCTCCCATATGAGCTTCCTGAAGATTGAATAATGTCCTTCCTGATCCGCGCTGCAAGAGGCCATATTGGATCCAGATTTCACTGGTTCAAAAGTCATTTCATTCCCCTTCATTTCTCCCCCTCTCTCCCTCTCCCAGTCTCTCTCTCTCTCTCTCTCTCCGCGTTATTTCTCTGTCTCTCTCAAGCCTTCTCTCTGCCTGCTTTATTTATTGCAGGTCCAGTGGTGTGGTACAAAGCCATTACCCGCGCATATGTACCTTTTTGAATAATCAATAAATAATTATTTTATTATTTAATAGGATCGTATGGGAAAAGGAAATGGGTTTTATTACATAAATCCATCACGTGTGATGAATGGGCACACTTGTAAAGCTGGACGTGGGAGATGGGGAAAAGTGGTTCGGACGGGCCTGCGCCTGCGCCCAACTGCCTCTCTGAGCACTTTCTCCATGCGAGGTTGTAAATATGACATTTTTGTCTCTTTGGGACTGTCAATTGGAGTGCAAAGAGGGACTGGGGGAAGGGGATTGTAAATTCAGAGAGATTAATTAACCTTTTACATTTGCGATTCAGCCCTGCATCTTTTTCTGTATATTGTGACCCCTGTGAGCAGAGGGGTGAGGGACCTGGCCGCAGACGTCCCATTCCAAATGAGTTATTAACAGAATTTTTTGAATAGATGGAAAAATTGTAGCCTGGCCATTTAGTGTCATAAAGGCCGGGTTGGCGAGCAGGCAGGGGCCTCCCAGGGACAGGAGGCAATACCATTACAATCAAATCTGAGATGGAAGAGGGATTGAGCTGTCCATTCTGAATTTTTATATTGTCAGAGGGGCCGGGGAGGAAATAATGCCATCCTGGAGTGTATTAACCTCTGGCTGGGGAAAGAGGACAGGGGTGGGGAGGGAGGGCAGAGGGAGGGATTTTAGATTGGACAACAGGGAGAAAGGAAAGCTAGAAGAGGGAGGAGAGGAATGAAGGTGCCAGAAGAGAGTTCCGTGCCTTATGCTGGGGAAGCAAAAGAGGGAGAGACAGCGATATGAGATGGGCGAGAGACAGAGCTAGAACAGAAGTGGGGAAAGTAGGCAATAATGCCATAAGGATTTAGAGAGAAAGTAGTGTTGGGGGAGAAAAAAAGCATATATGGACATGACTGCCAGGGGGAGATAGGAAGAGAGTTGATGGGAAAGTAAAGGGAAGTCTGGAAGGAACTAGGGAAAGACATGGAGGGAGGAGAGGAAGGAGGCAAGGTGGAGAAGTTGTAGGGAGTGATGGAATTTGGACAACAGAAAATCGTTATGAGCTACAAAGCTGCTCTAGAGTGTACAACTAGTCACAATGTTAAGATGATACATGAACACCGTAATCATCATATTATGCTGATGTCCAATGCAACTTCTTTACACTTCCTTTCATTTCATTACTAACAGGCAGGTTTGGCTGTGGCTTCACACAAAGGCACTTTAAGTTTCAGACAAAGTTTAAAATACTACACTACAAGTTAAAGTCCTGCATTCAAAATGGAGTGAAAGTACAGTCATGTTCACTGCAAAATGTACTTAAAGTATCAAACATAAAAGCAGAATGGCCAAAGGTGTCATATTTTAAATGGAATTGACACGAGAGGGTGGAGTACAACCGAATGCTGAATAAGACATTTTTAGGCAACCAAAAAGGTTATATTTAACTTTCATGAAGTGAAAACACACTGTGAAAGGCTTAAAGCAAGAAGCATGACGAAAACACGGACAACTACCAGACCAGACAACGTCCTGGAAGCCGCCTGTCAATCACAAGGTTAGCCACGCCCTAAAGCATACCCTGTATTATCATCTATTGTACTCTAAATGGGACCAAAAGTTACTAAATCAACATCATGCTGTATTCAAGAAGACTTGACACTAGTGATTGAGACAATAAACTCATGTTTACAATGTTTAAATCAAGTGAGAATCATTTTATCATAGACTTCTATACAATCAGACCAGAGGAGACGCCCCCTGATGGCCATTTGATAGAATGCAAGTTTAAGGCGCTTACCAATTGGCCTCACTTTTCAGACCTGATTCCGATATCTGAACTTGCATAGCCGCCGATACAGAGTACTGATCCAATACCGGTGCCTTTAAAAACAAAGTCAAACAAGTCATAATTCCCTCTCTAATATATTTTTTATATTGCTATGAAAACATATCCTTCAAACAACTGGATTTACTCAAATTTCTCGCCAACAACCAAATTGTACAAGATTGCATTTCAGCACGTCATGATAACTTTATAATTTACCTTCCCCAATACTCATTTTTACTCCATGAACCTTGAACGTATCATAATGTAACTCAATAGAACCTCTGTTAACAGCTGTTAGCTGTCCCAAGCGAGACTGTGCTGCTAATGTTCTCCAACAACTCCACATGTCACAAGCAATAGCCCATCAACACCACTGAAGGCTAATCTAATTTGTATGTATATTGGTTGCAAATATCGGTTTGGTCTCCTTGATTACTAATAATTGGTATCAGCCCTGAAAAATACACATCAGTCACTGCTGATAACTTACTGAATATGTCTGCAGCAATTCAATGTTGTGGCTGGTCTAGAAGGATCTTATTTTATATAATACATTTTGAAAGTTAAACTTATGACATATCTATTTAGTCTAAATCCTAATGTGCTAACGTTGACAATGGTACTTCCATAAAAAAGTATGAATTTTCCTTTTTAAATGCGTTTGAATAAAAGTTTAAAGTAACATAATGTTGAAATAATTAAAGTACAAGTGACTCAAAGTCGTAGAAGTACAGTATTTGAGTAAAGGCACTAGTTACTTTCTACCATTGGGGGTTTCCCTCAGGCTTCTGATTTAGAGTTCACGTCATCAATTTGACTGTCGAATAAATGGGCATTATTTTTATTTATTTTAGGAGAAATAGGATATCATCCATAAATTGATACTATCCAAAACAATATATGTGCAGGAGAGAAAAACATGCGTTACGAGGAGTATCAAGGGAGGGAACTGTGTTGCTAATCTGGACAAACTAGTAAAACGTGCACGTGTACGACTGGAGGCAGCGAGCTCACCTTGCAAATCTGATGGATCCTTCTAAACAGGCAACACGTGCAGCGTCTGACTTTCAACTAAAACCATGCACTTTTCCGCTGTTGGTGGCGCAGGCTAATAAAATTTTACAGATTTAAGACTGAATTTAATGCTGGACCGATGATGTGTTGTGATATCACCTGCGACAGGGTAGAGCTACGTAGCCCTATAGCGTCACAGGTCAGAGCGGAGCGGAAGTTGTTGGCTGCTCCTGCTCCTGCAGCCGAAACAGTCCGCTTTTAGCAGGCTAACACGCATCCCAACGTGTCCTGGCTCTTTGTCACTGGAAAAGAAAAATATGGAAACGCTCGAAATGTGCGAAAGAAGAAGACGACACGTCCAGGGAAATGATTGTCACCGGCACCGCCTCTGAAGAAGCGGATAAGCTAGCGTAAAGAAACCCGGAAGTGTTGTTGAAGGTAACAAGCCTGCTACCGTAGTTTGCCTGTAATGTTGAGAAATCAGCGCCGGGAATGAAATAAATCGCCTCATAAAATGACTGTGGTTGTGAGGATTACCACTCGTCTGTGGATGCCTAATCTGTGCTAACTAGTCAAAGGAAAACTTCCACTTAAATCGTTAGCAACCGGCTACTTCATGTAGCCCAGCTAACGTTACCGGCTATCATACTTTTTCTAAACACATGCTGTATGTATCCAATTTCTATATCACACTGCAAATCTACAACTAGGCGGGTGTTGAGTTGAATGTGATGCGGTGGTTTGGGGTCTTCATAAGTGTAGGCTGTGTTTAGTAACGTTATAACAAAAAGATCAGCAGAAAAACATTTACATGTTTTAGAATGAAAATCAGCATATCATGTTATATGTGCTTAAGTAAAAGGCTTTTAATGGATACATGACGTGTAATAACTGGTGTGATGCAGCAGCAGTTTGAGCATGAATGCTAGTGGGTGCTCAAAAGATGTGTTAAAGCCTGCTCAAAGTGTTTTATAGTGTTCCCAGTGTCACAGAGCCTGTCTGGATCACTGAATGTTCACTCCTTTGCATAACATGATCCACAACAGCCATTCAAATAACACAGGAAGTGACATCACCTGTACATCTAATTCTGGCACGATTCCTTTGGTGCAACAAGTTGATCTGGAGTTACTTCATACAACACTTTCACTATCTCTCTATATGTTCCCGCAGCTCCCAGCAGCCACGGACACAATGAGTGCCAAATATGGCCTGGTGAGCTACAACAGTTCCCGGAAGCACATTTCGATCTCCATCCCGTCGTCCACGGAGGTGATGTCGCCCCACATCAAGTCTGTGGAGGAGCTGAGGGTCCTGGGAATCAACCTGAGCAGCTTCAGTCCCCCCACGCAGTTCATGATCTGTGTGGCCGGAGTCTTCGTCTTTTACCTCATCTATGGATACCTGCAGGTAACACGGGGAGAAAGGCCATCTGAGCACACAAGCATATGACTGTTACAGTGGAAGAATAGGGCTGTGGTGGAGGCTCTGTGTGTCTATTTGCATGTACAGATGCAAAAGACGGGCATATTTAGTCTCACCAAAGTGTGTTTACGTGTACTGTTTTATTAGATGTCACTGTCTCTATAATTGGAAAATGACAATGCCGTTACTGATTGCACATAAGACAACCCATGTGACAAATAAATACAGTTTGCGTTCCAAGAGATGGGCTTCAGAAAACTACCGGTACCTGCTTTGTGATTGTTTATTTGGCCCTCCATCCAGGAGTTGATATTTTCCGTGGAAGGATTCAAGCCTTTTGGTTGGTACCTCACTCTGGTCCAGTTCGGCTTCTACTCCATGTTTGGACTCGTGGAGCTTCAGCTCACGCAGGACAAACGCAGAAGGTGAATGAAAGACTCTACTCACTATAATTCACATTAAATCTTTAGTTTAGATGTTTTTGTTAAACCGACACATCTGTTTTAAAAATCTGTCTCTCAACTACTTTATATATCTTCCAGGATACCGGGGAAGACCTATATGATCATAGCATTTCTAACAGTGGGCACTATGGGCCTGTCCAACACCTCCCTAGGCTACTTGAACTACCCTACACAGGTCATCTTTAAATGCTGTAAACTCATCCCTGTCATGATCGGAGGAGTGTTTATACAAGGTAAGCTGATTCTACTGTATCTGTATTTATACACAGACGTTACAGATGCAGCTATATGTTTACTTGTGCTGGTGGTTTTTGCTTTTTTCTAGACAATATTTAGCTCCTTCACAATATGTGATTGATATGTAGGGCTCTGTAGCTGTGGATGTGGCTCTAAACCTCTTTAATCCTCTCTATGAAATTATTTGATCTGCTCTTAAATTCTGGGGTTTGAAGTTCTCTGTTATATTTGTTGTTTAAACGAGGCTTGTCGATCAGAGCGTTAACGCTGAGTTGGCTTTGTCGAACAGCTTAAACCTGAATTAACAGTTTAAATTAACTGAAGTTCAGGTCCAGGTTTCCTGCTTTCTGTCAGACCGAGATTTTTAATTGTGATCAGTTGGCAAACACACCAATTAGTATTTTTTTTTCCATCATTAATACAAACTCTTAAACTCTAAATGTGAATTCATCGCAAATTTGTAAAGTCGCAAAGATGACGATTGGACTGTTGTTCAAAAACATCAGAAATTTGATTTTTCTCTCTGAACTAAAAAAAAAATCTGTAAAGTAAACATTGTATTCACACGATAGAGGAATGTCTGAATATAAAGGTGACATTATTACTTAGAGAGAAAAAAAATACACGTTTTCTTTATTGAACTTTACTAACAATTCAAACATAGTCATCAGTCAGGAGAGGGAACATTGTACGCCTCATTTCAGTCATCTCACACGTTTCCTTTGAAGGGATGACCACCTTTCAACGTTGGGTACCTCCTTTTTCATCCACGTGTGTTTTCGGTTGTCAGAGCCCAGTCGGCTGCACTACTTCTGTCCGTCCTTTCATCCTCACACCGGCCCACTCAAGGTTCTGCATCCTCAACGTCAGACAGGTTTTGCGTATTTTTTTATATTTTTTTTGCCTTCTTGCGTCTCCCTGGGTGGATAGATGTGAGGACCAGGGTCCCTCAAGGGGTCGAGTGGAAAACAGAATTTATTCACTTAGAATGCAAAGAGGAAAGAAAGTGGGAGCGAGGGGATGGATGAAGGGAGGGGTGTGGGGTTGCATCTGATGTGAGGCCCTTCAAAGGGGAGTCAGGGAATCAAAGCCGACCACGGTCGACCTGATGCTGCGTCCCCTTGTCAACCTCAAGGCATCTATCCGTCAAACAGTTTTTTGGAAGACTCCTTCATCCTGTTGTTTTTTTGTCCAAACTTTTGCTTTTTTTTTAGTGTATTGTTACAGGCACCGCCTCAGCTCCAACTTCCAATTGTCAAGAATACCCAATGTAAAAACTTTAAGTTACTTTTTTTTTTTATCCAGTGTCCAATGTCAACTTCTTTTATTTTGAAAAGAGGTCGGTCATCTTTTGAAGATTCCTTTGCAAGCCAAGCTCAAGGCGATGTCTCAGATTGGTGTCTCCGTGTTTGTGACGTTGTTAAAAAAAAAAAAATAAAAAAGCTTCTGGAAGTTTTACCGCTTAATCTCTAAAACTTCTTCCTTGTTTTCCCAAAATGTGATTTAGGAGATTTTCAGAAGTCGAGGTTTCTTATTCGCAGTTCAGAATTTGACGTGCAAAATGGTTTTGTGTTCCAGGTAAACGCTATAATGTGGCTGATGTGTCTGCTGCTCTCTGCATGAGTCTGGGGCTCATATGGTTCACGTTGGCAGACAGCAAAGTGGCCCCCAGCTTCAACGCCACAGGTAACTAACGTCTTTGTCTGCTCTAAAAGATACGCGTGGCATAAGAAGTGTGGAGTAGCTCATCTCTGTAACTTACGCTAAAATACATAACGCGCTTGTGTGTTTCGGATATCCGTGCTCTTAGTTTTGTGTGTTTTAATGCGCGTTTGTGGAACACAGGTGTTCTCCTCATCTCCCTGGCACTGTGTGCAGACGCCGCCATCGGAAACGTGCAGGAGAAAGCCATGAAACTCCACAACGGCTCCAACTCTGAAATGGTACCCTGCTTTACATAAGAATGTACATAAGTCTGTCTGAAATGTGGTAACTGTTGTTATTCTGTGTGTGTGATGTCACATGCGGTTGCGTTGACAGGTGCTGTACTCGTACTCCATCGGCTTTGTCTACATCCTGACGGGCCTGCTCTGTGTAGGTGGACTCGGTCCAGCGGCGGCATTCTGCTCAGAAGTGAGTATAGCTCAAGACAATAGGACTACATGCGTTATGTTGCAGACGCGTTGCCAACGTCAAATCTTCTCTTTAAGATACGCAGATTATTCACTTCTTATTTATAGTATATTAATCTTGTGCCTTCTTGGCAGCTGCTTTTTTTTAAATTTAGGCCGTTTATACTCACGAGACGCTTTCTTTGCTTCCTGTAAGTCCCGATGTTATTGCAGCTTTTTAGTTCTGTTTCCATGTCTCAATAGTTATCTGTTCTGCTCTCCTCCCTCGCAGCATCCCGTGAAGACGTACGGTTATGCATTCTTCTTCTCCCTCACGGGTTATTTTGGCATCTCCTTTGTGCTCGCCTTGATCAAGCTCTTTGGCGCCCTGGTTGCAGTCACAGGTCAGAGCCGCAGTTTGTCAAATCTGCTCTAATCTTCATTCTGGGATAATGTGACCAGTAATTGATTTGTAATTTGATCTAAGACAGAGAATTGAGTCATCGTTTATATTTTCAAAAACCACAATCGATATCACATCTGTTGAGCTTTTATTTCTTGTTTGTAATTAAATGTTTTTTTCCTCCTTTGCAGTGACCACCGGGAGAAAGGCCATGACTATCGTACTTTCCTTCATGTTCTTCGCAAAACCTTTCACTTTTCAGTAAGTCCGGTCACCTTTTTGGCTTTGATCAGTTTTCTGCTAGTTTAGAGCAAGTCTACACTGGCCTCTCCCCTTTTGACTACTCAAACTAGAGTGTGCTCCCCCGCCCCTGGTTTTCATGTCCTCAGTCCATTTTCAGAACCTCGCCTGCTCCACCGCTCTTTTTCTCCTTGTTCTTCACTCCCGCTCGCCCTCCAACTCCTCTGTGCTGTCAAAGGGGTCTCGTTCTCTGCTCTACCTCTCCTGCTCTTTTGTCTGTTGTAACTTTCTACACACACACACACACACTACACACAAAAGAAGTTGTGCATCTTTTGCCAACTTCATTCTCCCTCCAGCTGGTGTGTGCCCTCCAATGCTGGACTCACAGTCCCCTTTCACTGCAGCAGTTTACACTTTTTAAACCAAAATACTTTATTATCAGTATCTGCCTCTCCATAGCTTGTTGAACTCTGCTCTACTTCACACTGTATATCCAGTTGTTGTATTAGCTTTAATTAGCATCTGCTGATGTTCGCACATGGCGGTCCTTTTAAAAAATGTCTCACCTTTCCATGTCTCCCTCGTCAGGTACATCTGGGGCGGCCTTCTGGTGCTCTTCGGCATCTTCTTGAATGTTTACAGTAAAAACAGAGAGAAGATGAATCTCCCCTCCATCAACGACCTTCGGGGCTGGCTGCTGACTGGAAAGAAAGTCCGATTTCTCTCCCAAAACGTATAGGAGGCACCCACGGGCGTAGCGGAGGTCCTGCGCTGGCAGACCGTCTTGTCTGTACAGATGTAGAGTTGGCCCGCCCGTCTCAGCGTGCAGAAGCACGCGTCTGAGCAGGCGAGCCACATCAACATTGAGCCAAGGATGGGAATACAAGGTGTGGCCAGCAATCAGCCTGGAAAAACTGCTGACACACAATTAAACTAGGCCGGGTGACTGAGCCGCTGTATCTCATCTCTATGTACCACTACACCACTGGTGTAGAACCGCCTGAAACTACTCAAACTCTCTGCAGCAAACTGAAGGAACGGGCTATTTTTGTAACAAGGGGATCAATGCTAGTGGGCTCTGTTTAAAGCAATGCTTCAGAGCCCCCCGCACACAAACATTCCCAACATGGAGGACGACACTGAGGACTTTTCTAGAGGGAAGCCGGCGCCTTAGTTAACCAAATGGCAGAGTTTTGCACTGGAAACGACTTCTTCATGTAAATGAGTGGTTTGAGGAATGTTGGAAGGAAAGAATGCAGAGCGACATGCTGTCCTGTCATGACTGAAGTGAAAGTGACATATTGATTAATAAAAAGGCATATTTGCCCCCCCCCCATGTTTTCATAGTTTATCGGTAATTTATATCTGGTTGTTCCCTTAATTCGTGAAAAATGTGTGATCATGTGGTTACATTTTGGGGAATATGGAGACATTTGCTCCAGTGTACATCAAAGAAATTGCCCTAATTTGCTAGCCATGTGTTTGGGTGAAAGGGTACTACTCTTTTTTTCACATTAAAAATAAAAAAACTGAAACAATTCTCTCAAAGTCCAGTGTTTTTATAAATATATATATATATATGTGTGTGTGTGTTCCTCAGTTGCACAGCTTCAGAGAAGAGTTGAAATGTTGCCAAACTGTTTGTGTGTGTGTTTATCCATCCAGTGGCCTTGGGCATGTTTGATTAGGAGTCCTGAAAAAAGATAGCACTGCTAGACAGAAAATAAACAGCAGTCTTCACTGTGCCGAGGCTGTCCTATTCATTTGGATCCATCCTGTGTGTGTGTGTGTGTCATCCACCTGAATGCCAGTCTCCATTCACTCTAACTGATGATGTGATGAAGCTCACACCTGGTTCTTCAGCAGCACGGTTTCCTCTGTTGGGCCATTCATGGATATTTTGTTGTTTATAGATTATTTTAGGAGATATTTCCTCAATGACGCGTTTACATTATCATGTAGCAGGTGATTGCACCGATTTTATTATTATTTTTTTAATCAGACACCACCTTCACTGAATCCCTGCTATTTGCTTTTAGTATGTCACTGCATCTTTTTGAATCAAAAAGAAAATGTAATCCAGATGATCACGGCCCAGTAGATGTGTTCGTGTCCACTGACTGTTTTTCGCATTGTATTGTAAAAATAATAATTTTGATCTAATAATCTAAAACACATCCAGAATAAATGAATGAGTCTAAATATCCACAAAATATGATTAAATTCCTCTCTTGAGATTAACGAGTTGTAAACTGCCCTGCAAAGTCATTCGAGCAACCATCCTCATCCTGGACCCAGAATCCTCTCTGCCAAAGTGCCCTGCAGCGCTGATGTTCTGTCTGCTGACCATACATTTTGACCTCTCAATAGAAAACACACAGGTGAGAAGAGAATTTCCTTACAGAGGTCAATAAACTGTTATAACACATCAATTAACATGTCCAGTGCTGAAAATCGTACTTTGTTTAATCGGTAGCAAACCCAAAAGGCCCAATCAAGGAGGTGTTTAGGTAGGCTTGGAATAATTTGGAAATGTTTGAGAAGTCTTTTGTCCTTGCTGATCGCTTTATGTGTGTGTGTTGGTGTCACTGCCATCGCATGGTGTGAAATGAAAGAGACTTGCCAGCTCCGCAGGAGGCGGCTGAGTGTGGCTCTCTCTGTGATCCTAATAGAGGCCCAGATATTACAGTTTCACTTCCAGGCGGGAAACCTAACGCTGGGCCAATTAGTAATTTGGTATTTCATAAAATTTGGCAGCTTGTGTCTGATGACAAACTGACTGAGATCTTCTCTCCTCCAGGGAACCTTTGGCAGTACAGCATTACACACACACACACAGAGAACTGTTAAGTTTGTCTTCCAAAGAAAGCAAAGTGGCGAGTGTTGAACATACTGGGAGAACGTAATGAAAAACAGAAGATGACTTTGGCTGCATTGTGGTGTGGCTGCAGATTGTGGTTTCACACAAGCATGAAATGTTGAAAAGACGTTCTTCAAGAGGCCTTTTATTTATTTATTTATTTATAATGACGCACAGCGCCGAGCTTAGCCGCTGTTTTTATGTGATTGATGAAGAGTGAAACAGTCCATTAGAGATTGAGAGGTCATGTTGCAGCGTTAAAACATTACTTTGCCATTATATACACCTTTGATGTGCGGCGTGCGGTACTGCTTCATCGCCGTGGGAACCGCTGTTCTCTTCGAGCTCCCTGAAAGGTCATTATGGGATGGGAAAGCCCAGTTGACCCAAGGCAAAGTACATCATTTGTCTTTTAGCACCAGGAGAACACACCTAACAAAGCAGGCTGACCCCTGTTAGTACGCTGAGGATTTGGGCCATTTTTCAAAGCCACGTAGGAGTTTGCTATCCACTGAAGTCGGCTGTTTTTTTTTATTGTTTTGGACAAACATTTTTATATTTTTTATATAATCATATGTGACTTAAGGTGTCTTTAGTAAGGTGATGAAATATGAAATGTGTGGAATTGTTTCCATGTATGATTAAGTGACATCCTGTAACAAGATAGGCCTTCAGGTGTACTCTTTTGTCTCCAACCCCCGAATCTCCATCACAGACACACACACACACACACACACACACACACACACACATGGTAACCTAGGCCACCCAACCTCTGCTCTCACACGGCCGCGGCCCAACCTAATAAATAATGTGAGGTGTCCAGAGCTCATCATCCCAGCAAATGGGCTGCTATATAATATGCGGTCCACTTCAGATAGGTTGCTGTATAATATGTGGCCCGGCCTCGGATACCCACAGCAGGGAGGGCTGGCAGCCCATTCATTATGGGCGCAATCAGTTCAGTCGGGGCCAGGAAGGTGGCGAGGTGAGGGATACACAGTAGTTCTCACAGAGACATGTACGCACACGCACACACATACACAATCCCTGTCGTCCTTGGTGCACACACAAACAAATACTGAGAGAGTATAGATTCATGTGAAACTTGAATGGAGTCAGTTGTATGTTTAAATGTCATTTTCACCACTTGAATGATTTGATATTCACCGATATTTGCTCAAGAAAGCAAATATGCATATTTCCCAAAATGTTAAACCATTAAAAGAACTATGACAGTATTGCCACATGTACAACACTCATCCTTCCTTTCTTCCATCTTCCTCTGTCCATTTCCCACACACATGAATTCTCTCTTTCTATCCTTACTTTTGATCTCCTTCCCTCATTCCATCTCTCCTCCTTTCCTTTCCTTCCTCCCCTCTCCACATCAGCCTCCCCACCTCTTCCTCCTCCTCTTACCTCAGACTCATTACACCCCACCCACCCGTACCCGAGCCTCTGCGAGGAGCTCTCCTCATATAATATGATGGCCATCTGCTCGGCTGAGCCGCGCTCTCCAAAAGCCCCGCGGCTGGATGTTTATCTGTCGTCCCCCTCTCAGGCTCCTTTAAGGATGCAAAACATATCAGCAATCATCGCCGCCACAATTAGCACAGGTGCTGCTGAGCTGTAAAGTGATCAGGAGAAATGGGAGGAAACGTAATTGAAGTGGATTAGAGCGGAGAGGAGGGAGGGGGGGGGAAAAAATGAAATCAAAATTCTGGAGGCTTGGACAGCGGCCCCTTTCTATACTGCTGTTTAAAAATCCACTGTGCTGTGATTAAAACTGGTGCAGAGCGGTGGTGGGAGTCCCGGCAAGGAGTTTAAGTTTTTAACAGCTGTCTAGTGTGTTCTGGAGTTTTTCTACCGCACTGTTTCCATGAACATGTATGAACAAGATCAGGGATTTCTATGCATGTACTGCATGCATGTTTCAGTTTTACCTGAGGAGCTTGTACAGCAGTGTGTGTGTGTGTGTGTGTGTGTGTGTGTGTGTGTACACATGACAAACCAAATCTTGCATTCAGCTTGTCAGCATCCTCTGACAACATGGCAGCGAATATTTGTTTTTGTGCACTCTAACGTATACAGATACTGTAGAGACACACACGCACACCCTCACTGACACCATTTGGTAGCTCAAGCAGGGCCGAAATATTCCGCAGCAGTCACTCATGAAGAGAAATTCTTAATAATAAATATCTAGCCAATAATGAATGTGCTGCTGGCTGCAGTTGTCTTGAGGGCATAATATCTAATTTCCTCCCAATGTTTCATATCCTTCTCCTGCGTGTCGACACAGTCCATCATTACACCCCAATGCAGGTTCCTATCACTTTTATTTATTTTTCAAATCAATATATAAATCAAAGCCTGGACAGATGAGATCCAATAAATTACAGAGTGCCGGACAAATGCGGAATGTTAACAGTGTGCCAGGAGAGGAGATTCCCATGGGTGCTGCCTGGTCTGCGCTGTGTGCTAGAAGGAAAATCTACTAAATGTCATATTAAATCACAGGTAACTTGGATATTACTCAGTGCTGTTTTTAATACAAGTGGAGAAACTCATCCAAGGCCTTATCTGAATAACCTTTGTGGATTGCATGTACCTTCACTGGTGGTCTCTACATCTTATTGTGTCTTATTTTGTAAAATAAAAAAAATCAAGGGTGAGACAAGGAGGTCAGTGATTTCCATCTTGGTAGTGACAGAAAACCTAGCCATAAAACAGCATTTGAAATTCCTGGTAGGGATGGACCCCATTTTGCATCCATCCCCACCAGGCAAGTTGCACTGGGGGATGCAAAATATAAAGCAGCGGAGCCCTAATCTTCTGTGCACCAGCCACAGTGTGCGAGTCGCCCCTTCTACTCCAAGCTCAGCCACATGGAAAAATGGGAGGGTTAGTGGAAGACGGGTAAGACACGCGGGCAAGAGGATAAAGGACCAGGTGAAATAGAGCATATAGAGAACAAGGGAGGAGGGTCGGCAGCCTGGTAAACCTGCAGCTGCCATATTGAATCCTGACTGCGGACTCACAGAGGTGCAGGGGGCTAACCAGTCAGCTCGGGCACAGTCCCATAACATGAAGGGCGGGCTCAGAGGGCTCACACACACACACACACACAGAGCTATACCTGAGCATGGCAATCATCGCTATCAGCAGGGAATATGCTACCATCAGGCCCCATAACATCAGAGTACACCTTGGCGCTGACACCACATGACATGCATATGTGCGGAGGCAGCGTGAGGCGATGCCAGGCCGGGCAGCAGCAGGGGTTTGAAGGAGATTCCCATTGACAGTGGTCCGGTGGGGGGGGGGAGGACACCTCCACTGAAAAGTGAACCAGCAGGCCTTCTTCACCGCATGGTAGCAGCACAAAGACAGAAGCAGAGCCACATGGGTACTGAGAGAAAAAGGTTTCTGTCAGCTAGTGTGTGAGTAGCTGGCATGCTGCATGGTACAAAATGATAACAAGAGTGAAAATAGGGATCTATATGCACAATGGAACACTTAATGCTTTAATATGAAAATATTATATAATATAAAAGTCACATTTAGCCAGGAGCATAGACTCTATGTTAGGGCTGCAACTATTTATTTCTATCATCGATTCATCCTCTGTTTGGTTTTTTTCTCAATCAATTAATCCTTCGGTGTCAGAAAAGA